AGAGAGAGAGAGAGAGAGAGAGAGAGAGAGAGAGTTGAGAAGAGAAAGTCGAATCTGAGTGAAATGTTTTGTATCTTTATCTCTAATTAATAAACGTTTATATTTCTATCATTTAAACAAAAAACGAAGAAGTCGTGTGTTGAGTTCATTTCAACTTCTAACAGCCGTTTTGCAGGTCCCTCGACACGAAAATTAATATACACACCTCGCTATGGAAAACATATCACCCTCCCCCACGTGGTTGCCATCCTCGCCTTCGGCTTGGAAGGCAATCTTGCACGTGGCGGACGGTGATCTGTTTTCCAAGGCTCGGGGATGTAATGTACTATTTTGCAAAAAAAACACGACAAGTACGTACCTTGGAATTAATTTGTTAAAAAAATCATACAAAAAAAAATGAAATCAGAAAAATGTTGCAAGTACTTCTTTTCCCAATCTACAAGACCAGGTACACCACTCTACAAGATTTGACAAAGTAAATAAAAAAAAGTAAAAGAGAAGACGGGGAATGGAAAAACAAAAAAATTTAATGTTCAAGAAAAAAACATACTTGGTGCTCTTCAAATGCCCCCAATTTAACCACTGGGCACATGCACCAAGTACGTTTTTTTCTTGAACATTAAATTTTTTTGTTTTTCCATTCACCGTTTTCTCTCTTTTACTTTTTTTTATTTACTTTGTCAAGTCTTGTAGATTGAAATGAGATCAAAGGGATGTAAAATGTTCATATTTGTTCATATTTTCAGATCATTGGTATTAATTAATTTAAAGAAAAAGAAAGAAATGAAAAATGTTAGGTATGATTATCGAAAATTGTTTATCGATCTGTATTCTCAGGTGATTTATGGGGAATTTCTCTTCATTCAATATTGTAACTTGTGAATTAAGGAACTTAAATATATAGCAATAGGAATGACTAAAATTGAATTAATCTAATTGTGAAGACGGAAATGGAAATAAAATAAAATAAAATAACAGTATAAATTGATCTAAAAAGTTCTGAATTGATTGAACTTGGGCGCTTCGCGCCCGTTCGCTAGTCGTCATTATTCTTATTATCCCCTTCTATAGAACTGAGTGTCTTATTGCGGCTTTATCTCTCCCCTTAGCCCTTCGATAAAATGTTGATAGAAAAATTTTATTTATACATACTTGACTGAATTTGAAACATCACATTCGAAGAAACCACCAGAAATTTCACTTTCAGGGAAATTCATGAAAAATTTNACTTGACTGAATTTGAAACATCACATTCGAAGAAACCACCAGAAATTTCACTTTCAGGGAAATTCATGAAAAATTTGAAATTTTCAACAATCATCATGAAAATCAAATCAACCAATATAGCTATCGTAATCATGTTTTAACTTCGACGTAATGGCATTAAAACTAACATTTTAAGCTACGATTGAATTCATTTGAAGCATGATATTCAAAGATATCCCCGTAATTCTGATTTTCAAAATTTTTACAAATTTTCAAATAAATCAAAATAATGATTACTGCTATCGCCTTTATCTTCGAACTCGGCCAAAAGGATATTCAAACAAATTTTTGAAGCCATCATTCAATCAATTCAGAACTTTTTTTCGTTATTGTGGGACAACTCCTTTTCGAAAAAATTAGAAAATTAAAAAAACTAATCGACGAAATAAATTGTAATTAATGTCGATGGATAGGGCTCCACAATACCTCCATTTGAGAAAAAGAAATGATCTAATTCCATCCATTCATTAGCGGAAAATTGAAGGAATACTATACCATACACATAAATACATACGTACGGACACAGTCTAAAAATTGCATTTTCGGACTTTTTGGATCATCATGGGTCGATATAGTACAACAAATCCCAAACTTAAATTTGAACGATTATAATGCTTCCATTCGGAAGCAAAAAACGATCAAGAAAGATATTTCATGGAAATTGTTCTGCAGATGTCTTTGGAATAAGGGAGTTTGAAAACCAATTTCAAAACGGAATTTTTACACTCAAAATTCTTTGGTTTACAGCTGGTTCCTAGGATATTTATGATTTGAATAGATCATTTCAATTCATAGCATATTTTAGCTAATTCATAGAATCTAAGGTAGGAAGTTTACAATTATGAAGTTCAAGGTTTTGCCGTCAAATGGCAACAAACTCACCTGCAAGTGTCCAAACGATTTTCTTCTTTCTCATCAGTAATTTACCGATTGGATCAATAACAAACATAAATTGAGAGTTGCTAGAAGCAAATAAAACACCCTGAATGATTTTTCAAATTTTTCTCCTTTAGTTAAGTTGAATCTTAGATAATACAATCATTTTAAGTAATTGCTGTACAACGGACAAGGACGTTCTGCAATTTGAAATCGATTACTAGCAGTAACTTCCCCACGTACAGCAGAGGGCGTTCGTTAATTTATAAATAAATTATGAAAAAAGTTATAGGTATTTACAGACTGCAATTAAATAATTGTAAATCAAACTAGGATGAACAGCCATTAGCGTTACGTTCTATGAGATTTTTATTTGGTGTAATGGCATCATAAAAATAAGCGACCAAATTGGCGTAATAAATCTATTATCAATACACATTGCAATAAACTTTCCCAGTAAAGTGGTAATGAACAGAAGATAAATCGATCATTTCGCGAATATTTCTGGAAGTATTGCATTAAAAAAATCAGAAAAGCTTTCTCATGGAAATTTTATCAGCTACAAAGAAAAGATCTCTTGACATTCTGTCCTGAGATTTCATTTCATTCTCAACATTCATCAACTGGTGCAACATCGTTTAATTGCACTGTCAAATTATTTTGGTAACATCTCTTGAATTGGTACATCTTTAAAAAAAATTTGATTCTTTTCTATTCACGGCAATGAATTTCTTTACTAAAAGTTCTGGATGGAAATTTTTAATACTTTCGAAATAATCTACACCTTTATCGTTTGCTCATGTTCCTTCACCACTTGACTACTTAATTTAATAAAAAATTGCTAACTAACATTAGATTCTTATTCTTTTAATTGATGGAATTGATCCACTTTTTTAAAATTAAAATCAATACCAAAATACTGAAATAATCAATAGCTAAAAAGAACTGTACACATGACGTGAAAAAACATCGAAATATTTAGAAAGCATTTTGGGTTAGTGAGGAATTCCCCTACTTAATTCGAGTACTTATGGAATTTTTGAAAATACTTAACGCAACAACAATAATTTATAAAGTCATGAATTGCCCAATTCGATCCTACAAATGGCAATGGATTAACACTTAAAATCAACCACCGTTTAACATAGTGGGTACTTCTGAAATCAACAATTTTACAATGGTGACTCCACTGTGTATCTAATTTCCTACATAAGTATTTCAGAAATGAGATCGTAAAAGGAGATGAGTCGAAACATGTCATATAGTTCATCTCAGAAAGAAAGCATCAAGACACCTTCTTGTCAAAAAATCTTATTTCCAATAAAAATGATCTTCTGATATTTTTCTCCGAACCCAGAAGTGCCAAAAATATTTGTGAATCATTTCGCAACAGATTTGTCCATGAATAAATGGAAACATCTCGAGGATGAGCCAGTTTAAGAGAAAATATAGAGTCTTTTTTGTAGCTGACAAAATGCCCCGCGGAAAAAATCTTTCAATACATTTTTTTAAGTTTCTAGTTTTAGAGATATTTTCAAAATAGTTCATATGCAATTTTCTCGACTCATCTCCTGTTTTTCATCGCTCCCCTGCACATTCGAAATGAATAAATTAATAATTTATAATTAATCAATAAATTGTACTGAATAATCTCATTGGATCCATCTAAGTGGTAACGAACGGATACTTGAATATCTCACTAATTCGCATAAATAGTTAATTATTTACAAAGTACATGTATGGAGGGTACTACTTTCCAATTAGTATAAAATTATAAAAATACAGGGAACATCTTGCGAAAAATAACTTCATTCCTAAATACTAAAGATGTGTCATTTATTCAATCATTTCCCTGCAGTATTCAGTATTTGATGGTTAAATTCTTTAGTCGTACTGTTTTCGCAATCCAATTCGTTTTTCCTATGAAAGGTACTTTCCTGCTTCACGATTTTTCAAATAAGAAATTATTCGAAAAAATAATTTTTATATCATTTGGCGCATTTTTAATAAAGCTTACGATTATGAATTTGGCATCAACTAATTTTCATTTTTCTTAATGTTAGCATTTTTTCTACGAATATAATTTAATAGAGAAGTAGTACAGGATATGAGATAAGTCCGGAGAAAATGGAATTGCAGATTATTACACGAATACCTGTGAACGAAAAAGGATGAATGAAATTTATCAACGGGCTCTTTTTCAGATAATTTTGGGTCATGAATGACGGCTCTTTATATTTTTTTCTAAAGCTATTTTTTCCCTAGACAATTAGCTTACGAATGTAATAATCATTCGAATTGGACGAATCAGAATTTGTTCAATTGTTGAATCGTTATGTTGACAGATCTTTTTCATAAAAAACTTCATGTCATACAATGAAGTACTGACGTCCTGACCTTTTTCTCTAAATTCACCCGCCTCAGACATGTGTGCAAAATAATCTGCATGGTGTCGTTTGACTGATCTCCTATTCTCCACATATTCACTACAGTATTGAGATTTTACAAGGATGAATATTATCACTTTTGCAGCAGAGTATAGAAACGTGACATTGAATAATTCATATTCCGATAAAATCCATTATAATATCAATTATCGACCAAGAAAATCACTCTGATCATTCACCAGGAAGTGGTAGACAAAGGCCGCTTTTTTACGGTCAAATGTCGCTTGAATTAAACGATTTCTTTGAGTCCTGTCGTCCCTGCTTCTTGGAGGATCTCTGAGAAATATTGAGCCAAATAATGTTGCTAAAATGAAGAAGATGAAGAATAATTAATTGACAAAAATATAACGGAAAAACTGAAGTTAATGCCGATGCGAAATTGGGAAATTGGAATTTTGTAATTACCCAATGTCTTTGCGTCCAAATTATTCTCCTGAGAATGATTCAATAATTCTTGGAGAAAAGAGCAAATGTAGAGGAACACAGTCCTTCGAATTTCTGGTAATTGCATCACCAACTGTAAAATTAAGGTTAATCGGGCGAGCCCGGAGGGTTAGAAAAAAAGCAGCAATTTTGCTCTTTTATTTTTTACGTATTCTTTAAATGATGGGAAAGGCATGTGCAAAGTTTCAGACTGCTGGGGAACATGGTTAATTTATTATGAATTTTTGAAAAAGTGGTCATTTAACCCATGATCTTATGGAAATTACAAAAAAAAACTGCAAAACTCAAGGAAAAAAGGCAGCCAAAGTCATGAAACTTTAGACACATTTAGAACATATGATCAATGATTTTTTGAGTGAAAAAGATTGTCGCCTAGGAGCATTAATTATTAATAATAGCGAAAAAAGTACTGAAAAATGAAATTTCTGCGCACGCAGCCCAAACGAGCAGCAACGTCTCAACCCAAGTAGCAAACCTTGCGAAAGATATCTGAAAGTATACCAAAAGGCCTGACTAATGTCCGTCCAAAAGGTATCTTGCAGTCATACGATAACTTTTAGTTAACTTCTAGGTAACTTCTAGACAGAAGTTACCTTTTTGGACAGACATTAGACAGCCTTTTTGGTATACTTGCAGATACCCTCCAGAACTGTGCTGCTTGGGAAGTACCGATCGGGTGGGGTAGCGCGGTCAATTTAAACGACTCTTGATACCCAAGCAGCACAGTTCTGGAGGGTATCTGCAAGTATACCAAAAAGGCTGTCTAATGTCTGTCCAAAAAGGTAACTTGTGTCTAGAAGTTACCTAGAAATTAACTAAAAGTTATCGTATGACTGCAAGATACCTTTTGGACGGACATTAGTCTGCCTTTTTGGTATACTTTCAGATATCTTTCGCAAAGTTTGCTACTTGCCCAAGCAGCACAGTTCTGGAGGGTATCTGCAAGTATACCAAAAAGGCTGTCTAATGTCTGTCCAAAAAGGTGACTTGTGTCTAGAAGTTACCTAGAAGTTAACTAAAAGTTATCGTATGACTGCAAGATACCTTTTGGATGGACATTAGTCTGCCTTTTTGGTATACTTTCAGATATCTTTCGCAAAGTTTGCTACTTGGGTTGGGGAGAGAGCGACAAAGCGTTGTGATTGGAGCTCCCTCGAGCCAGTGGTACCAGCTCCTGGTGAAAAAAAAAAACACTACCGACGATGTTGCCACTTTTTCGCATGGATTAATATTTTTTCATTTATTAAAAAAAAAACAATCTGAAAACCATTCAATGCGTGGAACAGATACAAATAAATTTGATTAGCTCCAGAAATAATTTTTAATCGGAGATACTCCCTAATATTGCCTGAATTTTGAATCCGAATGGGAAAAATTTTTTTGTTCAGCGATTGGTTTTCTGCAAGAAAACAATAGAAACCCCTCCACCTCACATTTCCTCCTCGCTCGATTATCGTTAAGAAAAATAATTTGAATTTAGATCCACAACTGTTATTATCAATACTAAACGAAGAACTTTGGGCAACAAGAGAAACTGACAAAGAATAGAGCGTCAGTTTCTACTTCTCATCATCATAGATGAGAGGTTGAAAGACTTCTTTAGCACTCATTACCGAGATACCTTCACATTGAGAAGAGACAAAAACATGTTCTCAAACTAATCTTGTTTGACAACAAAAAATCGTAAGCTAAAAATTGCAGTTCGAGATTTTTTGGGTACCAACAAGACTTGTTTATGAACTTTTTTTTTCTTACAATGCACAATTAATAATTGAAATGAGTGATTCCTTTTTACCTCTGCTTTCTTCAATGTATCCATCAAAAACTACTTATTGACGCTAAAAAGTCTGAAATGCCTGTTCCCCTATGAAATGAACATTGCACAAAAGTGGTAAAAACCACCTAAATTGATTAAACCGAACGGAATCCAATAGGTCTAGTTATTAACTTCTTGTTATACACTAAACCATGAACAAATAAAATAATTGTTTCAATAAATTTTTTCTTTCGGGGAAGAAAAAAATTACCACGACAAAAATTAACAAAATGAAAATCTTTAACATGACAAAAAATATACAATTCACAAACCTGTTTGCACTGCAAATAACTCGTAGCAGCACTCAAGCACAAGCTGTGCAAATTATACGGTACCAAAGGCTCGGCAGTGGATTCCAACAGTAACAAAAGTGACTCAGCTACAGAATGCACACTACCAGGCATGGGCTCCTGGCTCCCCAGATCCAGCCAATCTCTAATAGCAATTATCTCACTGTGTAGTCCAGGGGTTTCAAAAAGCCCGGATGTTTTTGTTCCATGTCTATACAACCTATCGACTAGCAACCAAACCTCCTTAGGAACAGGGTAAGGCTCACTCGAAGGATTTTTATTATTCTCTAGCTCCACCAGTCTCCCAACGGGTACCTCCCTGATGGGCACCGGGATATGCACCAGAGCCTCCATGGACGATCCAAAGCAACTTCTTTCATAGGTCCCAGTAACAGTGATGAAAATGTCTTTTCCTCCCTCCAAATGCAGCACCAAAATGTCGTACAATTTATCCTCTCCAGAATTTAGTTTGCAGGCCACCCTCTTGTCAACATAAACCTCCAGCTTGATGTCACACTTCTCCCCAGGCTTGATAAACCCAGTATAAGGTTCGATGTGCAGCCAATCCTTACAGTAATTAGTGTCATCTAACTTCTTGATAAATTCAAACTGCACGGGCACCTGTCCTGTATTGGCTATGATCAATTCTTTGCTGCTGGGCTCGAGAAATTTAAGAATATCGAAAATAATCTCTGTGGTATCTACCATGACTTGAGGCAGAAATTCATTCTCTAATTTGTCTAATTTCTTCATCACTTCTTCGTGTATTTTTCTATACTTGGTCATGTCGATGACTCTGATTTGAGCATCAAAGATTGCTGAGACTGGTTTGTGATCGGATATCCGGAGGTCGGGATGGCTTCTGTATTTTATCGAGGTAATTGATTCTCCTTTCCACAGGACTCGGTCACACCAGGCTGGAGCTCTTCCTTTTTCTGAGGAGTCCCAATTATCGGTGCCTGGGTCATACTTGTAGGTGGGCTTGAAGGTGATCTCTGCCTCGTGGAAGCCCAGGAAGACTCGACCCAGCTTTTTCTGCTGATGAAGTTGGTCGAGGGTGAGGACTGGGAGAAGAGTATTTGAAGTGAGGTATTGCTTTGCTGTAAATGCATCCATCTCGGTGATTCTGTAATTCAGATCACCCAACCAGTAGATCTGGTCGTGATCCTTGAACGATTTTGGCGGGATGAGAGAGGTAAAGGAGAGGCGAGAACAGATGTCTGCGTAGTCTTGGTTTCTACGTTCGAATTCCTCGCAATGTGCAGCGAGGTGCGCGTTCACAAAGCAGATGGACGTGTTGTGGATGGAACAGCTCACAGCTACACCTCCTTTGTTACCTAGTTTACCCATTATTCCTAGAGGAGAAGAGATATTTGTAAAGTTAAGTAGTGAGAAAGGGAATTGGAGCTTTGTGGAGTTTCTTCTCAAAAAATGATCCAAGTTCAAATTTCTACTTTTTGCTTCCGAAAGGAAGCATTGTAATCGTTGAAATTTAAGTTCTGGATTTTTCGTGTTATATCGACCCATTATGATCCAAAAAGTCTGAAAATGCAATTTTTAGACCGTGTCCGTACGTATGTATGTATGTGCGTTCGCTAATGAATCGATGGAATTGAATCTTTTTTCCCCCTCAAATGTAGGTATTGTTGAGCCCTATCATCTGTAACGAACAGGTTGAAAAGATTTATCAAGAAATAATTTTTTTAGTCCATTAAATTCCCGCCCAAAAAGGTTTTGAATGAATTTACCTCAACCCTTTCTCGCCTGCATATTGCCAGTATAAAAATTTTGCAAATAAGAATAAATGTCTCACCTGTGCCCACAGTGTCCACACAAACGTTTTTGATGAAGGGCAAATGTGCCTCTTGCGCGAAAACAATAAGCATCATTCCCACCAGACGAACAAGTGCTATTTGCTTGTACTTTCCCTTAGGATGGAGAGATCTCGTCACCACTTGTCTCCATTCCTCTTCTCGTGGCGTGTCGTTGAATAAAAATGCTTCTTTACTCAGATCTAGCTCCTGGAAACCAACTGCATATAAATCTGGAGGGACTCTGTCACTGCTCAACCACTCCTTGATAGACACGTTGTTCGGTGGTTGTCCGTTGACGTTCCAAGTCCCAATGAAGACTCGGTAGGTTTCTGTGTAGGTGTAGTCGTCCTCCTTGCAGGCCATTTGATAACGAACGACGGATTCTCGAGCTGCGACGGGAGTCTTTCCTGAGGCGATGTTGCGACGAGGAACGACAAGATCTGGGGACTCTAGGTCAACTAAGGGGTCCACGATATCGGGACCGTCGCCTGATGCATAGTCTAGGGCTCTTGTGCTGCCTGGTGAATATTGAATGTCATGAGTTCATTGAACATTTTTGGTCACTTGATGATTACTCTGAGCAGGAGTTGTTTTAGTAGAGAATGTGAAAAGATCCTTTTGTGAAGTTGGCAATTCCTCACAAATAAAAAAATTTTTGATTGAGATGATTTAATGATTAACAAAATCGTAGACCTATTCACGTCAAATGTAGAATTCATTAATGGATCGATCCTATGGAAAATGAGTTATTGCACAGGAAAATTTTTAATGACCTTTTGTGTGGATGGGTAAAATTACAAAATGCCTTGCGGTAATTCATTTCGAAACTGCTTACCATCAAAATAACGTATTAATGGTGAGATGAAAAGGGGAGGGTCCAATTGGATTTTTACAGCATTTTCAAAATATCTCTGAAGGCAATAATTAGAGAATTTCTACTAAAATTTATATTTTGATAAACTTGAGCTCATCAGGAAATATTTAATTTCTAAGTGTCAGGAGTACTGCCATTATTCCATTCAAGAATTAATTTCTTATCGAAGTATTGGATAGTCGAAACGATAAACTAGTCTCTCTTATTTTGCATCAAATGAGTATTTTTTTGGGAGAAAAATACGTATAATAGTATATAATAAGAAATAGGTGGTGCTAGAAATGAGATTCTTTGCTTGCAGAGAAACTGACGACAATCATTTATTTAAGGATACTTATGAAATGGTGACTACAGGATTTTTTATTCCTGGAAATTTTCAACATGCGATTTGTTTCGTTCAAGCAAGACCTTTTTAGATTTTCCTCTCAGTGAAAAAGGTTCGTTGATCATTAATTCCGAACACCACCAATTTCTGGAATATTTATTAAAAAAATTTGTAAAATCTTTAGATTCTAGACTTAGAGGAAAAATTTAAAAGGAGTAAGAAGATTATTTTGGCAACATCTCCAAAACCAAACCGTTTCCGAGAGTTCTCTGAGAAAACTTTTTAGTAAAAAGATTGATTTTTCGTAAAAAAAAATTCTGGATTTTTTCCGGAGTCCTGATGGATGAACAAACCCAGACAAAAGAAAGAAACTTTGGGAAATTTTCATAAACCTAGATTTAAATCGGGGCTAATCCGTGATCCATCAGGGAATCCACTAGTTTGCAAGATATTCTAGGGGAGAGTCGGGCAAAATGGGACGTTTCGTGGTCTTCTCTAATTGTCAATATTTTCACTCATAAATGCAGATATTGATAATTAGAAAAGATCTCAGTACGTCCCATTTTGCCCGACCCTCCCCTATATAAAATTGTTGACTTGACTATTTCTCGTCTGAATTTTCATACCTGTTAACTTTTGGATCCACAAATAATCAGACGTTGGATTTTTATTTTTCTGGAAGACCTCGATAGCTCTGAAAATTTCCGAGACTATCGAACTCGTAGCTACCCCAGGTCTCATCTCGAACACTAGTCTCTGCTTTCTCGAAGAAACATTTAGGTAAACATCCAAACTTTCCTGCAGTTGATTTCCAGTGTCGATATCACATTTGAATTCTTGATCGATAGGCAATACTCGCTCAATAGTCAAATCACTGTAGACCTGGGGTGGGCTTCTGGAGGTGAGAAAGACCACAAGAGCGTACGTTGGTCCCTTGTTGACTAGAGCAAGGAGGCGAGGGGCCTTGGCCCGTCCCTGCATCAGTGAGGCCTCTGTCGTGATCACTACTGTCTCACCAGACGTAAATTTCGATTGAACTATTGACATTTGTTCGTGCCCTGCCATTTTTTTGCCTTTCGTTGACTAAAACTGTAATGAAAACGAAGAAGGACATTTATGTTATTTACTCAATTGACGAATGTCAACATAGCTGTGAACCCGAGTCACTATCAAAACCACCTAAAAATGACGAAGAATAAACCATTTGGTACTATCTTGTTAATTCAAATTCAAATAGAACCTTCATTATCTAGAACGAATAGAATTTGTGGGAAAAGAAAAAACTCCCGTTTTGATTATTTTTCTTTTTTTCTTTCAAGAAACATTTTTGTAGATGGCCAATTACTTCAGAGAGCATTTCATTAAAATAAAACTGGAGATGGATATTATTCAAAATAAATGAAACCTCTGACTAAGAGAACATTCGATTCGATTGATTCGTTAAGGCTCAGGTGGACTATCTTTAGAACGTTATCTCAATTGTTATTCCATCTTCATCCTATTTACTATTACTAAAGATGAAAGAAACGTGAAGTTGTTTTATATCGAAATATCTCGAAACTCTGCCTGACCGCTAATCCTCAATTCTGGTTGCTCAATGAGTCACGTGAAGTAGGCGCTGAAAAAAATCCCCGGTATTTTCAAATTCTTCAAATGGCAAAAATTTGTTCTGCGTCATATTTTTCATTTTTTCATGTGTGAAGTTGATCTTTATATCAAAACATATCTAAATTGCCTAATTGTTGATCATGAGAAAAAAACATAGTATTTCTAAATTTTTTTAACTCACAAATTATTCTTCACTTGCCAAATTTTAATTTTTTCATATTTATCACACGCCAAAATGATCAATTCTTGCTTCTTAGATTTTCATACATAAATTCTAAACTCTACAAAATTCACGAAAATTCTTCGGTTTCCCAAATAATTCGAGAACAATCTTTGAAGAGCTACAGTTATCTGGAAAACTGTGGAATTTTCCGAAGAATTCAAGAATTTTTTTCAGTTTTCTGGGAATTCAATTCATAACCCTCCCCACATTTTTCAACCATTACAGATTTTAATCAGATTATTTTAAAATGTAAAAAAAGGAATTAATCGAAGATTAAAAATTATTCATTGATGTTTCACTCTTCCTTCTCTTAATTCTCTTTAAGTCATTATTAATATTTATAAAACATCTATGAGTATATGAAGTTTAATAAATTCGATTTCTTCATTTTCACAACAAATAGATAAGTGCGCGCGAAAGCGCGCGCAAATGTCTAGTAATGTAAAATATATCACAATTTCGATTGGATTTGACATCACGCAGGAGTCCCTCAAAATTATGATTGTACAATCAAAAAAAGTAGAAAAAAAACTGAACATTTTCAAAGATCGTTTTTAATGAAGATTAAGAAATAAATCCGATAGAGAGGAAATAGTGAATGGATAATTTGTCATGGTAACTAACGATCTGACAGCCATTGACTACTGTGACAAATGACAATCTAACAGCCATTAGATACATCAGTTTATTAATTTTCAATTCCCTCCCTATTGAGCTTATTTCCTAATATTATTCAAAAACGTTCTTTGAAAATTTTCAATTTGTTTTCAACGTTTTTTAAATTGTCAATCATAATTTTTGGAGACTCCAGGGCTATGTAAAACTGAATCGCAATTGGAGATCATTTCAGATTATCAAAATATAAAAAAAACAACCAAGATCACGTTCGAAAGATAATCCACCCGGGCCTTACTTATTAGCTTAGCTGCAATTGACATGTTTAGTTTTCTCTAAGTTTGGGGGAAAATTACCTTGAACTTTGAATTAAAATTACAGATATCCACTGTTGTACGGCATTCTAATTCAAATAAAGTCTAAATTAAGGTGTGTATAGCTTAAAAATTGTCACACGAAATTTGAACACACATTATTTTACTTTATAAACACCAAAAAAATTCACCTTCAATCTTCAATTTACCTATCAAAAACACATAATTGCATCTGATATTTTTCTCACATAAAACGTAGAAAAATGATAGCTTTTCAATTGTTAACAGGAACAACGAATTTAGCTAAAGATGTTGATTTCCGGTGGAACCGAGTCGCCACCTTGGCATCTAAAAAATGCATTGATGACTGAAACTTCCAACAATTCGATAATTTTCAATAATGAATCACTCCGTTACCTTTCTAACCCTGACTAGGTGACGTTACCGTCCATGTACTCACTAATTAATCATCAGTTTTCATATTCACTCAAAAACTATCACTTTTACTTTTCCCTGCTGCAGAATTTTGTCATTCTTCCTTTCCACCTTCTCCTGTCCAAATATAACCACGACAACAAAGCCTCAACGACCTCCGTAGAACTCCAGTCGGTAATTGAATTCACCTCCCACTATTTAACAAAAAACCTTATAACAATAAAACCTTCTGTCGCTCTTTAATTCTAACCAAGCGGGATTTAATTACATGATTGACAGGTGCGAGAGGGGTGGATCCTCCAAAATGGAGAGAAGTCAACGAAACCGAAAAAAAAGAAAAAACATATGCAGCCAAACAACAGAACTTAGTAGGTAAATGGAAGAACGATATGATCGACACATCAACGTTACAATAGTTTGACTGACGGTTGTTACATCGGAGGGGGGGTGGTTTGTACTTTTACAACTCTACAGACGACACCATCTAGGGAATGTTACCATTTATTAGTGAGAAACCTCGCTGAACGAGTTTACAGAACACAACTGTACAGGAAAACGAGTCTACAGAGAACAACGCCGGATTTTCATGTTCGGGTCGTCAATCGACGTCGGCATGGTAGAGATTTTAGACGGCATTCACTTATCGACCGTAATTTTAGAGAAATTTTTCCGCCGAGTGATGAAGCCAAAGAGGATAGACCTGAGGAGAGGCTCGAATCGGGGGGTTTGACTGACTCCAAAAAAGTTAGTTGGTACCCCACGGGAAATGCGGCGTCCCGGTCGAATTGTCGGTAAATGTGAGTCGGGTGCGTGAGTAACTCGGCAGTAGCAGTCCCGCTGTCACATGAACAGGTTCGGAAGCTTATTTTTGTCCTCCTTGTACTCAATGTTTACTTTATGTTTTTCAGTTGATTTATTCGCCGACTAGTTAATATTAAGGGATGAAACAAAGACTGTTCAATGGAGAATTAAATTCCCCATCCATCAACCCCCGTTTCATCCCTTAATCTCTGCAATAAAAAAATTAATATTGTAACGAAAGTCACGGCGCTATAAGAAACCCAATGTTTACCCAATGACTCCCCATTAATTCGCCGGCTAATTAAAAAATCGTCTCTCTCCTCCTAATTAACATTAAGGAATGAAACCAATACTGTTCGATGGAGAATTAAATTCCCCACCCAACAACCCCCGTTCCATCTCTTAATCTCTCTAATGAAAGAATTATAGCTGCGACGAAAGTCGCGGCGCTATGAAATACTCAATGGTTTCTCGGCACAGAGCGCTTCCCAATTAATTCGCCCGCTAATTAAAAAATCGTATCTCTGCTCCTAATTAACATTAAGGAATGAAACCAATGCCGTTCGATGAAGAATTAAATTCCCCACCCAACAACCCCCGTTTCATCTCTTCATCTCTCTAATGAAAAAATTATAACTGCGACGAAAATCGCGGCGCTATGAAAAACTAAATGGTTTCACGGCGCCAGTGACTCCCGACAACTCGCCCGTTAATTAAAAAATCGTATCTCTGCTCTTAATTAACATTAAGGGATGAAACAAAGACTGTTCAATGGAGAATTAAATTCCCCATCCTTCAACCCCCATTTCATTCCTTAATCTCTGTAATGAAAAAATAAAAACTGCGACGAAAGTCGCGGCGCTATGAAAAACTCAATGGTTTCTCGGCGCAGTGATTCCCGACAACTCGCCCGCTAATTAAAAAATCGTATCTCTGCTCCTAATTAACATTAAGGAATGAAACCAATGCTGTTCGATGGAGAATTAAATCCCCCACCCAACAACCCCCGTTTCATCCCTTAATCTCTCTAATGAAAAAATTATAACTGCAACGGA